TATGAAACAATATTAAACAGATTAATTCATTAGTCACAGGTTTCCACATATTTATACTTATCATGAGATCTGCATCTATTAGAACAGTACGCACTGTGTTCAATAATGCAGGTTGACAGCTTTAGTGAGAAGTGTTTAGTCATAACACCATTTACTAGAATTCAAAAGCAGAAGTAAAACGACCTCTTTTTTTAAAAACCCACAGATATAATTCAGTGAGATACTCAATTTAGAGTTCTATACACAGGAATCAATTACCAAGAATTGTTTGTCATCTATTTTAGGAATTTCAAAGAAAAAAAAATTCTAATTCTCAGTAATTTCTCATAAAATTTCACTTTAAAACATTATGGTAAAAAATACACAGGCACTCTGCAATTTAGCATTAGAATAGTTAAATAAAAGTAAACAGGTGATTGTGATTACTAGCTAATGCAATGGCCTATTCAAAAGATCTTTTCATAACTTCATTACTGGCAATAATAACATTTTAAGTAAACATTTTGAAATAGAATTATTTTAGATTTCATGTGTAAGAAGCAAGAATAACATTAAAAATGAATAAAAAATTTCTATGCAGCAGGAGAATTCAGGCCAATCTCCAATATAATCAGTGTAGTTGATGCTTCACAAGACGCTTGGCTAACAAAATGCATTTTCCAATATTCTAAGTACAGGCAAGCCATGAACCCAGAAACAGTGCTCTAATCTACAAGATAAACAACAGTGATTCTAACCAACAGAGCCACTAAGATGTATAAATGTATGAAGTTTTAAGAACTTAAAAAGGAGACTTCAGCCAGGCATAGTGGCGCACACCTGTAATCCCAGCACTCGGGAGACTGAGGCAGGAGGATCACCGTGAGTTCGATACCAGCCTGGGCTGTATAGTGAGTTCCAGGTCAGTCTCAACTACATAAAGAGACCCTGTCTCAATCAATCAATCAATCAATCAGTAAATAAATAAGGAGACTTCATATTCCTTTTACATTTTATATTAGAAACCACCACAGTACAATAAAGAAATCCTGTCTGGGGTAGCTCAGTGGTAGAGTGCTTGCCCAGCATGCACCAGGCCATGGGTTTGTTTTTACCTCCCCAAAAACACCCATGCCCTGGGAGTCAAGTAGTTCCAACTAAGCCACTATACTTAATCAGGCCCTTCACCTCCTAGGGAATGTATAATATGAAAGGATCTGAATTTTTCTATGAAGACTCTTTATAGTCTAAAATTTTTCCTCTCAAATGTTTGAACAATAATTCAAGAACACAGACACAATTTAAGTTACCAAAATGGAAAAATTTACTAATAAACTTTGTAAGTTTTAATGAATTTTTTATTGCATATATATATATATATATATATATATATGCTTAACATAATGTGTCAATATAATGGAATTAATATTTCAGAAAATTTCAAGATAAAAAAATATGACCCTTTATCTGAGATTTTACTTATATAACCTCATAGAGCTGTATTGAGTATAACATGCTTTATGTAACTCCTCTTATATATTTACCAGACTGTAACAATCTTTATACGTATCCTGTTAGCTGCTTACTATTCTAATGAGTGCATGTATATATTTATACAATGATTATGTAGTAGTATAATGAAATGTTAGGAGAAAAATGATAAAATTATTATTTTTATTAGTGGAAGAAAGGAATAGAGACAAAGGTTTCTCTTTGTATATTTTTGCATATATTTTAACTTACTAAATACTTTTTAAAGTAAAATGTGATTAATGTTAAGTGAAACATAGCTGTCGGAAGTCAGAAAACATCTGGTCCAATGCAATGTAAGAATCTCTTCAACAGTCCTTAATTATCTGTTTTCCTAGAACTTCAGAAAAAGGATGTAGGGAAAATAAATCAAAATCAGCTGTCAGAACATTCTAAGAGGACAGTAGTCTAAGATAATTCAGAGAAACTCCTTAAACATATGCCATCATCAATCCCTAAAAAAGCATCAGTGAATTAAAGCACTGTTTAAAGGCTGATTAATTTCAGCAAATATACACCTATTATCTAAGAATGCAAAGGTTGATGAAGAATAAGAAAAGTTCCTCTGCTCGTGGAATCTGGGCCAAGAACACTTTATAAGCTTTATATTTTTAGAAATAACCAAGGTACAATTGCAATAAATACACAGAGTAAACTTCGTGGAGACAAAGAGGAAAATGAGTGACTTTGGGGAAATGAGAGGTTCCAAAAGAGTAATCAACAAGTGGGTACACTATTTTTAAGGGGTTTGCTTTTTTACTATTACTATGTCAGAATAAAAATTAAAGATTTCATTATGTGAGCTAGTTACAGCTGTGCACATTTGTTACTCGGCTCTCTGGGAGACTGAGGAAGGATGATGGCAACTGCAAGACAATCTTGGACTACTTAGCAACTTTAATAAGACCCTGTTTAAAAATAAGTAAGTATACAAAACAGGTGTGGGAATGCAGATGAACGCAAAAGCCTCGAGTTCAATCACCAGAAGATTTTATTATGTGAAAGTCTGCATTCTTCAATAATAATTAGTAAAAGCCTGATTAAAAGTAATACATTTATGCCATTATAGGCTATGATAAATTTAGGCATTCTTTTAACTAGGTAAATAGATTTTATTTACCTGGAATTATATACATGTATTTATTTCATATATACAAATAAAATACAGACAAACCTATTCGACTGCCTATTTGAAATCCAGGTAGAGAAAACCGTTCACAAAGAATGGTCACAAATGATACAGCAAATTACTAAAATAAATTATTTGCACCATTTTTTCTACAGTTAAAATACTTTCACAGAATACAGTAATAAATCTTGAGTTAAATATTAAAGATGCCTTGATCATGTGAAAATTTTAAATTACCTAAAGACAGAGTATATTAAATTGGAAAAAAAGTACTCAATGCTAACTTGCTCATCTGATAAAACAATATTTTGTATATTATTTAATATATCCCCCAAAAGGAACTGGAAACAGTTACAAATTGCAAGAAAGCACTGAAGCCCTTTTCAAACAGTATTATTAGTGTAAAGAGGCAAAACAAATAAATGGGAAGCCAAAGAAAGAGTAAAATAGAAAAGATTTCTACCAGTAATTATAGTGTGATAATTACAAAATCTATTATTAATGGAAAGACAAAAGCTAGAAGAACATTAATAGTGTTGTTCTACCTTCACAGTATCATCACCAATTTTCAAAGATTCATGCATTCAGCCTTCCATAAAAGCCTTAAAACATTCTAAAACTTCCTAATAAGCTACCCTACCATGCCCAGAAGAACTCAAAGTGACCAGTCATGGTCTGAGAGCCATTCACTTCAAGACCACCTTCACCTGGTCTAAAAGTGTCTATTCTAAAATTACAGAAGTAAGACTCATAATTCTCTTGATATACTAAGTTCCTTTTGCTGTGTTTAAAAAAAAAAACAAACTCAAAATGTATGTAGAACCTTTTAAAGAACTTCAGCGTTATCATTTATTGACTATAGCTGGTGCTCCACCTCCATGATTTCACATCCTCTGAATCAATCAACCACAAAGAGAAAAAATTTGCAGGGAAGGAGGTTTAACTATATTCAACATGTGCGAACTTTTTGTTAGTACTCCCTGAACAATATAGTGTAAAACTATTTACACAGCATGTACATTGCATTGGATATTACAAGTACTCTAGAGACGATTTAAAGTTTATAGAAGGTGTAAGTTACATGCACCCACCACGCTATTTCATATAAGAGACCAAGGGGCAACTCTAGTGCATTGTACTTTCCTTACACTGTCACAGAAAAATCTCTAACACCCCTTCTAGGCAGACAATATTACCTTTGAGAAATGTGAAAAGAGAGGACTATAATATCTAACACCACAGCCTAAGCACAGGAGGGTATTAGTCTACATCTGATTAGCCATCAGGAGTTAAAGCTAATCCTCTTAAGTATGTTACACTACATTTTAAGAAAGCAATAAAACCCTATCAAAGCCAAAATATAAGTCATTTGCACTATATTCTCCCTAACTATAAAAGTCTACAGTGTTTTAAGAGGTTAAAATTTAAAAAGACTGAGCAGACTAAAGAATATCAACCACAATTAAGACATCTCTAAAAACATTTGTCTACAAATACTCTATCATATTCTTAGAACTGTTCCAAGTATGTACTGTAAACACTTGGTAAATATTTTCCTAATGAACAGAACACTGTGGTGGTTCCCTGAATGTCTGATAGCTTCAAGGGAATTACACTAGCTACATTTTTACTGAAAATTTATATTTTATGCTTTAAATTCTATATTTGCTTACTGGTAAATTACATGACACTGCACATTACCTGCCTCTTTTCATCTTGATCACTTGCACTTTTTATTAGTTGAAAAGGATTCATTGAATATCAAGGCTTAGAAATACTGAGAAATACGTAAATTCCAAGATGCCTCAATTGTTAGCTTTGGTAATGAAGCAGGAACAGAAAAATACACATGTGAATTAGTCACATCTTTAGATGCCAGACACCAATCTGGAAATACTGTATAACCACAGGCATACAACAGGTAGGTGCAGCTATAACCACCAATCTCCAAAGCAAATTCTACACTGAGTGCTTTGTAACGTGGCAGATACTGCTGGTCAATTAAAGTACCGTTTGAACAACTGAAAGTACAGGCCATAATGCTGGGACAGAAGACTTAAATTTCCCTTCCCAACTGATGTTTCAAAAATACTATTTATATGCCACAAATATTTTGGTGACTCAAATTATTTTTTTAACTTCTAAAACAACACAAATTACAAAAGTTTCTAAGTATTTTTTTCTTGTGAAACACTAAAGCAAACAATGCGTTGCTGGCAATGAAGTTCAAGCCCCAGAACATTTTAATGAAACAGACTTAAACGTAATTTCACACAGACACACACACACACACACACACACACACACACACACACACACACAGAAAAAGGCTATCATTTCATAATAAAATTCATTTACATACCAACACAGAATATCCCTGGAACTTCACTCCTAATTATTATGGTTCGAACTTTCTTATCCGATTTTAAAGCATCCACAGCTTTTGATAACTAAAGCAAAATAGGGAGGATAAGGAAGAAAGAGAAAAAAAAATCATTTTCAGACTAATGTTAGCATTAGACCTTAATATTAGAAGTAAACATTTTAATTTTTACACTCACCGTTTTCATAAGATTTTTACTGAGTGAATTTTTTCCATAAGCTCTGTTTATTCCAAGCACCACAATTCCTAGTTAAGGAAAAGGGGGGCAGACACACTTGAGTTAGAGCAGTATTCTGAGAACAAAGACTCTAGTAAGTCTAGCTAATGTGGGACTTAAAAAATCTACCTTCTCCTTTAAGTTTACTAAAAGAGCTTATCCTTATTTTCATGCTTAATTTCCTTTTCAAGACAAGCACTTAAAAAAAAAAAAACACAGTACCTATATAAATTTTACATCACTAAATCAGACTACCTAGAGGGAAGACCACACATACTAGTGAAAATCTGGAATTACAGGGTTCTACTTAACATATGCCTTCATCATCTTCAGGTACACAGTATAAAGGAGTAACAGTTGACAAAACCTTGTCTCATGCAAGGTTCATCTGAGCTGCTTTTTGCTAGGATGCCAGTTGTCATAGCTCATTTACTTTGTTATATTGTACTACTTAGTTCTCAGTTCATCCTAGGCTTCTTTCCTAACTTCTGTTCCACATTTAACCTGAGGGCACCACCACCACGTAAGAAGATATACAAGCAACTTAAACTCAATCTATAGAAAACAAAGTTCATTTATCTTTCCCAATAAACCCAGGCCTTCTTCCTAACTCCCTTAATTTTATAAGAAAGCATCATTCCAACTGTAGGAGTCAAATCAATTTTCTAAACACAAACCTATGCTCAGAATTCACTGCTTCCTCAAAATCCTTTAATTATTATTCCAAAATGTCTGAGTTTAAAGACCTTAAATGCATATTCAAAGTTCTATAAAATCTGTAAACTGATGGTCCTTTGAGTAAGCACAATTTTCACCATATATCTGAAATACCTTCTAATCAGGCTGAGAATGGTCCTTACATGCAAAGGGTTAAACAGAAGACAACAAAATGCATACATCTTCCGTCCAAGAAACTGGACAGATCTATTTTTAAGGAAAGTACAAAAATGATTTCAGCTCACAACAGAAAAGATCTGCAAGAATCTTGATTTCAGAATGCAGAGTAACACTAGAGAGAACCTGTATCTCCATCAGCCTCTGCGTGACCTTGGATAGATCTCAACAGCCACCACTAAACTGAGCATGTTAATACGGAACAGGCATTATTACTCCACAGCCTTAGGTGTATTAACTCATATAATCCCTGCAACCCAAGAGACTGGCACTATTTTTATCACCAGTTAACAGATAAGGACCCTGAGACTCAAAGAGGTTAAGTAAGAAGTGGCAATCGACTCCACATCAGAATGACTATGCCACACCACTCAAATTTAGTATCTTCATGAAGAAAGTTCAGTAGATGAAACGAGAGATGCATTCATTCATTTAAATATATTAAAATATGCATTACAGTGCTTGGTCCTCTAAGAGGGAAAGGCAAATATTAACAAACACCAAAATATACAATTCAAAATGTTTTACATACTATAAATGGTGCTACAGTACCTTGTCACCAGAATTATATAGTCTGGGGGGAAGGGGAATGGTGAGGAAAGTTTTCTAGAGGCAGTTCTAAATGAATTGAGAAGGATGAGTAGCACTTAAGGTAGAAGTGGGTAAGGGGGCTGAATTCCAGGCAGAGGGAACAGAGAGAGAGTATAAATCAGTGATGATACCACTGAAGAATAAAACAGACACAGTTCTATTTCTCCTACAGTCATGAGCCAAGGACAGAAGAAGAGTAAGAAAGAGTGCAGCAATCAGCATAGGCAAGATAATGTCCTTCCAGGCCCCACAATAAGTCTGGTCTTTATCCTAAGAACAAGGAGTAAACACTGAAGGAGTTCAAGAAGAAACACATACATCACATACACAACTAGCGCGAGAAGGGTGTTACAGTTTTTATATTTGAAGATCACACTAGAAGTAGACAGGGTAGAAGCTCAAGGTACATGCTGTAGTCCAGCCAGGAAGATAATAGGTTTGAGTGAGGCTAGCAATAGTAGAAATAAAGAAAAGTGAAAGGATTTAACAACTATTCAAGGAGCAAAATTTAAAATGCGTGATTACTGGCTTGAGATTGATTGAACTGGAAGGAGGTGTTAGGGGTATCTACCACATTCTGGTTTCAGCAAATGGACAAAAGGAGATGATACTCAATGAGACAGAACCATTAAAAACACCAAGGTAAGGGTACAGGGAGGTAAAGCTCCAGAATTTAAAGCAAATCCAAAGTGCCTCTGAGGTAACAAACTTCTTATCAACTCTAAGAATGGAAATTAAGAATGCAGGCTCTAAAGACTAAGGGATTGGGTTGAAATCCCAGTCTAGCATTTCCCAGCTATTTGACTTAGGATGAATTACTTAAGTCTCTCCAATCCTTTGCTTCTTACCCTGTTAAAACACAAACAGTGGCAAAACCCATGGAATTGTGTGAGGATCAAATCATATGATACACGTAAAACTTAAACACAAACACCTAATTATATTATTCCTCCTAGCATGAACATTTTGGATGCAGTAAAAACTATTTTACTATGAATTACCTTCCCTTTCTTGTCATTATTATACCTAGAGATATATTTTTTAAGTTAGTGTGTACTGGCAGCTTATATATCTACGTATTTCAGGATAGTAAAAGAAACCTCCTAAGATATGTTAATAAGAATAACTGAACAATGAATATCATAAATCTCCAACATTACATGGGAGTATAATGTCATTTTATATCATTTTAACCAATTTTCTGAAATGAAGTTGTTTAATCATTAGTTATTTTATGAATTAACTTCTTGCTATTTACCTATTAAATATTTCCCTCTAAGATACGGGAATACATTTTAAAATTTAAACATATATTTAGGTCCTGATTTTTTTTTTCTTATAGGCTTTTTCTTACAGTTCTTGCACATGTTTTGGTAGCTACATGCGGCCCTTCTACACTGTTTTATTTATAATCATATATTGAGTCTATATGGAAAGTTTTGTGATATTTGTTCATCATTTTCCTGGTAAACTTATGAAATATAACAGATCTAACAAGTGATCTCTTCCATTTTCTAAGGTGGATGATCATCATTGTCTAGAAACATTGGCAGTTAACATTTTTCTGCTCCAATGCTGATTTTCTCATTTTCTTCTCTTACCATTTTATTTTAGCTAAAACTGTAAATCCAATATAGAATATTAGCAAAGATAACAATTTGCTTATTTTCTTAATATCTTTAATGAGTATACGTCTACTATTTCATCATTTGGTGTAACATATTTCTACATTCAAACCTCCATTTTGAAAAGGTCACTAAAGGGCCAGGGATTTAGCTCTCTGGCATAGCACCTGCCTGCCTCGCAAGTGCAAGGCCCTGAGTTCAATCCATTGTACCAAAAATAAAAATAAACATAAAAAAATACAAAGGTCACTAAAACCACAGTATAAAGGATAGCTCAGGAAGAAGTAAGAGCATACATGGGAAACTACAGACTAATATCCCTTGTGTATACAGATGCAAAAATCCTCAGTTAAGCATAGGTTGAGTGCCCCTTACCTGAAACACTTGCAACCAGTAAAGATTTGAGATTTTGAAATACTAGCAAACACGATGATATATCTTAAGTATGGCATCCAATTCTAAACACGAAATTCTTTGTTTCACATTATCAGGTGTGACAGAAATATGCAGTGAATGTTTAAATTTTAAAATTGATTACAGTAGAAGACTCACTGGTCTTCTATTCATTCCCCTTAAAATCCTTGCCCTCTCTTCTAACACACTCATCATTCCTGCTACTTCTGAAGCAGTTCTGGAAGTCCTCTTTTGTGAGTATCTTTATGAGGTATGGTAAAAATACAGTGAATGCTTCTGCTGTCTGCCATCCAATTGGAAAAACAGGGTTATAAAAATCATTACAGTGTACCCTCATTCACCTTATGCATCAGATCTAACACTGTGTGACTTCTGGACCTTCGCCAAAGTCAAAATGACCACAAAAGGCAAATATTTAGAATCAATTGAGGACATCAAAGCAGCCACCACAATACAATTAAAGATCCATATAATGAATTTCAGAACTGCTTCAGAAAGTGGAAAAAATGATGGAATAAGTATCTTTAAAGAAAGGGGAAGTACTTTGAGCAGGATAAATTTTCAAAATTTAAATATTCACCATATTTTCATCACATCTTGTGCACCTTATATACACAGTACAAAAGCAAATTTAAACAATATTTTTAGTGTGCCCGCATTTTGACTGCTACCTGCCATATAAGGTATAAAATTTTTCATTTGTAGTATCGTGTCCGAAGTTCCAGATTTTGAAACATCTGAAAGTCACATTTCAGACTTCAACTTGCACTCATAAACCAACAGCAGCACTTAAGAGATTTATACACCATGACCAAATAGGATGTATTGCAGGAATGTTAGAGAAGTTCAATATGCAAAAATCAGAACAAAACATCACACTGACAGAATAAAGAAAAACCCCCTACATTCCCATGATCATTTCAAAGAACTTGACAACATTCAACACGGATGACTTAAAAAATAACATGTGCAAGCCGAGGATTTTGCTCAGTGGTTCTGCGCCTGCCTTGCCAAGTGCAAGGGCCTGAGTCTGATCCCCGGCATCCAAAAAAAAAGCATGTGCAACAAACTAGTAATAGATGGGAATTTTAACTCAACCAAATAAAGGGCATTTATGCAAAGACCACACTCAATGGTGAAAAGCTGAAGGTCTTCCCCTAAAGGTAAAGGAAGAATTTTACCACTGTGATTCAACTTGGCACCAGAAGTTCTAGCCAAGAATTTAGGCAACAACAACAACAAAAAAGTGGCATCCAGATTGGAAAAAAAAGAGGTAAAACTGTATCCACACTCAAAACACATAATTCAATATGGAGAAAAACCCCAAAGAATCCATAAAAGAACTATAGCATTAATAAATTAGTTCAGTAAAGTTTGCATAATTATACAGTAACATACCCAAAAATGAAATTAGAAAAACAATTCAATAACAGGAATTCTACTTTGCAGTTTAGTATGTAAGAAGCATGTAGTCACTCAATCCTAACAAAACACTAAAAAAAAGG